AGTGTACTGTCAAGACAATAGTAAGAGGAGCCATTACTTGACAGAAAGTAATTGCCAAAGAAAGATGTAGTTGATGCAACACTACTAGCTAACATATAGAAAGAACTCTAAAAATTTGTTTCCTAAAACAGTCAAAACTGCACCAAAGATCTTGACATACATCTTACCAAAGAAGATTCATAGATGCCAAATTAACATAGTAAAAAATGTTCCTCATTAGATGTCAGCAAAAGGCAAATGGCAAGATTGTGCGGGCACTGCACACCTCCCAGAAATGTTGGAATCCGAAATGCTATCAGGGTTAAGTCCTGGCGAGGATGTGGACCAACAATTCTGCTCCTATATTACTGATGGAAATGCACTGTGGTATAGACACTATACAAGAGAGTGAAACAATTTCTTATAGAACAATGTATCCTTACCATATGATCCACCAAAAATGAAAGTTTATATCTATACATGTGGCTGCTTATTATAAAATAATATTGAGAATTCTTAAATATGGAAAACGACCAGATGAGTCTTGTGAAGTCAAAGAGATATGCAAACTGAAACATTTGAACACTGAAAGACTGTTCAGCAATAAAAAGAGATATTCTGTAAAAATCATGAAAAGACATGGAGGTGTTGATGTCTCTTGACAAATATTCACATCACACACTAGTAATTTTGCTGAACTATTATGACAGTAAAAAGGCAGTGAAGCTTACTCTCAGGATAGAGACATTCCAACATCTTGACATTCTGAAAAAGGCAAAACTATAATAATGATAAAAAGGTTGGTGACTGTCAAGGGTTGTGAAAAGTAAAGGCATATGTGGGTGATTTAGGGGTAACTTAAGCTTCTTTTGTGGGAAACTAAAAAAAACTGGGAGGCTTTGCACATGTGAGAGATAGACAGGAAAGCTTGGAATTTTCTACTACATTTTGCTTGAACTTTAGAGTAATGTAAAAGTCAGCTCTATTTAAATAGTTCATCCACCCTCTTATACACACATGTGAACAAAATTGGTATAAATTATCTGCCCATCAAACTGACCTGATAAAATTCATAAACATTTTCTGTACACTACCATTTTCATATGAAATTCTCATCTATAGATGATTTAATAATGTAATAATTCAATAACCATCTTCAAGACATTTTACCCACATCAATTCTGTAATCACAGATTAAATTCAAAATGTTTGCTTGCAAAGTCACAAACAACACTTTACATATTTTGATTCAGCAAAGGGTATAAGTGGGCAAGGAAGGTAATTGAAACAGTATATCCCCTAATTGTGTAAACCCCACGCACTGCTCTGAACTATCCCTTGACAGTTGGCAATGTATACCTACGTACCAGGTATTGCCCTAGCTCCATTTTACTAGTCAACCCCTTCTCTCCAAGGCAGTATCATTTCAGGAGACAAATAAGTCACACACTGCGAACTCAGTCCCTATAAGACTTTAGACCTATGATTTGACTCTAATTTTTGCATGACTTGCTATAACTTTACGCTCGAGTGGCATACAGATGAACTACACAGTAACGTACTATTTTACCTGGACTAAGAATTGCACTCTACAAATGAGTTCTCACTTAGACTTTTCAGCACACCTCTTAGTTCCACTGTGCTATACATATCAGGAATGCTAGAAGTGTCCTGATAAGATGGAAACTGGTCTATTTCTTTCAGCAGAGATAATTAACATCTTGTATAGCAATTTCATTTGCTGTCTCGTCACTTTGCTTCTGGGATCTAAAAATCTCCAGCCTTACCAGCAGCTGTGTGGTGATTCCTAGGGGTACAGGTGTTCTGCTCAACAGCCTTGAAACAGCCATTCTTAGACCCTGAAATCCCCACAGCCCAGTGGAACAAATTTCTTTATCCATGAGGCCTAGTGCTCACTTTTCTCAAATGATGTTGAGGGCCATAAACCCATGTCATTGATACCTATTCCCTGCTACCATTGGTGAATGAGGAGTACTGACTGCTTACCCCTTTCAACGGCTTATCCTCTATCACACAATCCATGCTTATTGTTTCCTGGCCCATGGCTTAGCTCTAGCCTCTTCCTCCTCTGAAATTTCTCAGCTGTATCTTTCAACATTCCTCAGCATCATAATCTCTTTTTGACTTTATTTTTCCTACTGTAACTAAAACCCAAATCTTATGTGAATAGTCCCATTCACCTTTAGCATTTTTAAAAGCTGTTTTAACATTGTTTATACCTACAAAGTTATGGATCTGTACCCTTGGCTCCTGGAGAACTTTTTCTTGTGTCTTCCAAAACTTCTGAGTGTTTTCACTTTTCTATAATTCATATTATGATATAAATTACTATGACTATTAATTTTTAATGAGTCTAATGTTGCATTTACCGGGAATATTTGTGAAATAATGGTGTTATTTGCTTAGTTCTAGGGAACAAACTATTAAGAAAAAGTGATGTGAGTTATTTCAGACCAAGTGTTTTAAGGAAGCCTGTGTTCTCTGTCCCAATGTTGACAGCTAGAAGCAGTTGAGGAGGTAACCTGGGAGATATTGAAGCCACCAGAAAGATCAGCTTAGGCCACTGAATCATCACTTAGATGAAAAATACTCATATGTTGACCAGAACCACATGCCCTGGTCAAGAGAGAATACTCCCTGGCAATAAAGTTTTCTTTTTCTGAGGCACGGAGGAAATAGTTTTTTATTCAGTTGCTAATAATCCCACTATCATCTATTGAACTATGGTCTTGGAGAATGTTACATATAGTAAACGTTATCTATTTCAATTCTGAAACCCTTGTTTCATCTTGAGCAATAATAATATCTGCTTATACATGAAATAAAGCATACCTCCTTAAACCATGACCTCCAGTTGGGTTTGCTTACTTACTTTGCTCAATTTGGCTACTTTCTCTCTGGACCCATGGGAACCCCTCTAGAGTCAAGGCTCTTGCCAACCCTAAAATGGCTCCCATAATTAAGATATATACTTCCCTGCTCCCATATCCATCCTTCCTTTATCTCAACCATCCCATTCCCCCAAGCTCTCCCCATCCTCCCTTTCTCACTTTTCTCTCCCCATCTCCCCTTTCCCCCATCCCACCCCACCCCCTAGTTCCCAATTTTTGCCCAGCAATCTTGTCTCCTTCCGATATCCAGCAGGATAACTATATGTTTTTCTTTAGGTTCACCTTCTTATTTAGCTTCTCTAGGATCACGAATTATAGGCTCAATGTCCTTTATTTATGGCTAAAAACCAATTATGAGTGAGTACATCCCATGTTCATCTTTTTGGGTCTGGGTTACCTCACTCATAAGCATGATTTGAAACTTTTCCTGTCTCATAACTCCTTCTTCAAATCACTCATTATCCAACAATATGAAAGGTGACTCTTTCAATGGCACAAATTTGTTCAAGCACTTCAATTACGAGTATTATTTGATTTCAGTTTTTCTTAACATATTTCCAAACTAACCACACATTTCATGGTTGAAGTCAAACTTCAATTGAATAATTATCTGAGTTTCATTGCCCTTCATGTGTTTGAATCCAGTTTATCTACCAATGGCTCAAACATGCAGCAACTGAGGTGTCTGTTGTCTCAATGATGAAATAACCAAGTAATAGAGTTCTAATGAGTCAGGTCATGAAACAAGGAAGAGAAACTCTGATACAAAAATGAGGCCACGAATCTATAACCCTCCAACTTACAGAAACACAACAACTGACTTGGCATCTTTTCTCAAATAATGTACTCCAAACTCATATTTCTGGTTCTAATCTCACAAGCATATTCTATAAATGTCCTCCACTGTCAGCATTTTCTCAGTATTATTATATCTCATAACTAAGAACACAAACAGTGACATTTACTCTCATCCTTAAAGACCTTCCAGTGTATCTATCCTTCATCATTACCTCACTTCAAATGTTTGTTGGTATCACATTCTAAATACATAACAGCTTTCCCTGTAGTTCTTGCATCCCAAGACTCCAGGCTAATATAATTTTGCCTAAGTAGAATTAAGGTATGTGCATTTTTTATCATAATTTACTAAACTCTAAACTCTGTCCAGCCTAGTAATTGCCTTCTTTTCTGCTGACTGAGACTGGTTAAGGATCATCAGAATGAGTGGGAGAGGGGATGCATGAGTATAAGTGAATTCGTCTGAAATTTCACAATCCACATACACATGTGAAACTAGTATTCTTGTCTACATTACAAAGGAGGAAAAAATCTGGAGGTTACAATCCAAACAGGCAGACCTCGAAGAACTCCGGCTCAATTATAAGTTTTTCAATTTAGCTAACTCTTAGCTATTAATTATCTTTTCATATTGAGTTTCATAGCATATATCTTATTTAACTTGTAATAGACTCAGAAGTAGCTTCAATTTTTAATGAAATTGTCTATGACGATAGAAAGTAAAGTCTCTTGAAGACAGCTAATATTTTTTTAAAAAAATTGTCATTAATTAGCAATATTTTAAGAATTATTTCAATCTTGTTAATATAAATGTATATATGTCTACAATACAAATTATTATTGATGCTAAAATGTACCAACAAAGCCAGCTTGTAAGAAGAAAAGGATTTGAACAGAAAACAATGATATATATATAGCTTTTTAAAATGTTGTTATCTATCATTATCATGTATGTTTTCCATGTTGAAATACTGTGCTAAGCAGTTTTTATATATATAAAGTAGGAACTGTTAGCACCCTTATTTGACAGATAAGTAAATGGAAGAATGAGAAGAAACTATCAAAGCCTAGAGGCAAATCCTATTTCTGTGGAATTTTAGAAGTGTTGAGCATCACATCATCTTCTGGATATGTAGCTAAGACTTCTATAATGAGCCTTCCCCAAATGTGAAGTGAACAAAAGGTTTTTTTTTAATACAAATAGTGAATGATAATGAATAATTTTGATTACAATCAAATAGAGAAAGAGAACAATGTGTAGAGTATCAAAGTGATCTCAGAATACTTAAGGAACAAATTGTTTTGTCTTACCCATAAATTCAATCCCCAAGTGGTCTGCTACATCAAAGTCAGCATGGAAAGAAGGGAAACAGAAAGAGAAATGGGTTAGAAAAATCCAAACAAGGATATCAATGCTTGTTAGACCATCATTCCAAGACACAAGATATGTCTCTACTTTAACTATGTTAGCTTTGAGATGTAACTTTTAGACAATCAACAGTAACAGTTCTTGGTATTGTCTTTAATATTTATTTCCACAAAGTTTATAAATTGTTACTAGGCATTTTAGTGGAAATACAATGCATAAATAATAAAATATACCAAATAAGAGAAGGGGATCAAAGAATTGCTTGTAAAGATATTTTCAAAATCCACCATATTTTTTGTAGATTACATCTTTGTTCAACATAAATTTATTTGGACCTCTACATTAACAAAAAAGGCAAAGCCCTAACCAGGCTATGAAAGGCTATAGTGCATGTTCTTCACAATCATACACACGAATTGATGACACTAGACTTCTTTCTTGGACATGTTATATGGGACCACTGTGCAGTGGCAAAACTAAAGATCTTACAATGCTCACAAAGTCCTGGGTAGATTGAAGACATAAATGCGTGTACCTGACGCACAAGCCACATGACTCCTTGACCTGACGTGTCGTCAGATCAAAAACAAATGGCAGAAGCATCATCCTCTGTCCTGTGTGCCCACAGACACAGACAGTCTTGAACAGCTAGACTGCCTGTACCCAGAAGACTAATCAACTCATCCAGGCCTATTTACTTAAATAGCGCCTTCTTTCTTTTAATTGTACAGTTATGTACTCATTCACTCTGTAAATTCAACACATGACTAAATGATGGTTTCATTACACAACTATTTGTCTGGAATGAGGATAAGAGGGAAAAACTATTGCTGGAACTGTATTTATTTCCAAATCCAATCGCTGACCTCCTTTTAGGGGTTTAGTAAATAAGCATTTCTTTTCCGAAAACATATGATAGTAATATTAGTGCAAGTATGGATACACACATATAAAACACGCTTTTGACATTTAGGTAATTTCAAGTACTTAATTCATTTTAGTACTTAATTTGGTACAAATTAAGTTCATGAGGTTGTGCCATCACATCACTTTTTTTTTTTTTTTGGCTCTTCCATCCTACCAGTCAGACGCTATGTCTTCTCATGTCCCAGGTCCCCTCCCATCAGCTACCAGCAACCTCTACATTCTGCATCAGTTCAATTTGCCGGCGGTTCCTTTGAAGTGATTAAAATTCATGTGAATTACAAAATGTCTACTTTGATGAAGAAAGATAGCAATGGTATTTCTAAAATGTAGGTTTATCCCTCTCTCCTAATGGCAAGTGTTTCACTGCTTGGGCTGCATTGATATGTATTTTCCTAATTATCTGTTTAATTTTGTAAAAAGACAGCATTTTTTTCTCAGTGAATTCTAGCATCATCAGCAGGAGACCACAGAGTAAAATTCTGGCCATCCCTCTCTTAGTAAGTGCCATACTGAAAATGTGCAATAATGGGAGAATTCGGAAGCGGAGAATCTGTTCCTTGGAGGGACAGAAGTTGCTATGCAAAGAATGCAATTTAGGAGGAAAAGTGACAAGTGCAAGGTTATGTTCTTTTGCAGACAAGGAGCCCCAACTGTGTGCTCCAGAAACATGAAAGAGATACTGGATATATAGAATTTTAAAATGAGGTACAAGTGAGATTAGCTCTCATGAAATTATGGTAAGGTAATTCAAAAGACAGCAAATGACACAATTTGTCATTTGCACACAAACAAAAAGAAACCAAAGCCAGGAATATTTGGAAATCAGCAAGCAGAGGCTCTCATGTGGACCACAGGTCTTCAGAGACAATGTCCTCAAATAGTGGACCATAGCTGACAGGCAGAGAGGCCCTCAAGGAGTAGACCAGAGATATCCAGAGGCATAGACTCTCCAGGAATGGGCTACAGATATTCACAAGCATAAACCTCAAGTTGGGAGTACCCTAGCCTCAATTTCATTTAAAAAGATCTTTCTGGTAAAGCTTACATGAATGAACACTGACCCTGAGTCTATCCTGCTGGCTAGAACATAACAGAGAGCCAGTCTCCATTTTTCCACGATGCTCTGTTCTACCTATGCTTGTGACTAGGAATCTAGGCGACCAGTCTTCTTGACGAGCTAAGAAGTAAGCCGTGTTGATGCATTGGAAGTCAATTTAAGTACTTTACAAGCATAAGGAACTCCTGACCAGCAGCACGGACAAACATCACAACTAAAAATTATTCAAACACTGAAAAAGATAAATAGGAGTCTTGATTAAAATAAATCCCTCTTAATATAAAAGTTGCTAGGGTTGTAATTTGCAGACTTTCCAGCAAAGTACTGTCTATGGTCTTGGATATTGAAAGGAAATTGCTTACTAATTTTTATGATGCCCTTTTTAATGGAAACTGACAAGCCTGAATATACAAATAAAAATTATTTTTTATTAAAAATTCTCTACCCCCTGCTCTTTGACCATACACTACTGTATTAAAGATGCCAAACCCTGTGATCACTATCAGTTTGAAGACACTGACAGGCATTGCCCTACAGTGAAAGATGGATGGAAAGCAGATGACAGAAAAGCAATTAATTGTGTTATTTCAGTCACATGCAGAACATAAACCACACCATTTCTCAGAAGCCTATGCTGATTCTTTCTCAAGGCAAACAGCTTGCCTGAAAATGTTCCGGCCTGAAGGAAAACATCAAGAGGATGTGAGTGAGAAGAAATCAATTCATAGTTCATTTCTTCATTCACTCAAAACCACTGAGTACCAAGAACTCCTCAGACCTTAGGGTGAAGCAATTGGCACATGGCTCAAGCGAAAGCCATCTGCTTCCCCCTGAAGAATGTATGCAAGTCTACAATTTAAGATTTTTAGCTCCTCCATTAACTTTTTTCTTTTTATTTATTTATTTTTAATTAAAAATTTCCACCTCCTCCCCTCCTTCCATTTCCCTCCCCATCCCCTTAACTTTTCTTTAGAATATTCATACCCTTAGCATTGTTCCATAGTGGCTGACTTTTACCCAGCACTAACTGCTCTAGGAAATAATTTAAGGATGAGATACTCTGACAGCAACTCCTAAACTGCCAACCATGCCCACAGTAAAAGGGTATACAGCCACACAGAGGGCGGAAACATCATTCCCCAGTCATAACGCCTATAAATGAGAGGGACTGCCATTGAGCCCAGGTAGCCTGACTCTCAGCCTTCATTATCCAGGTTTTAAATGACCTCCCTCTGAAGAAATAGCTAATTTTTGCAATGTCATTAAGGAATGAGACATTCTGGGATGAATTATTTAATCCACTTAAAAGAGTAAATTGTTTTCAAGCATCCTCAGGCACTACTGAAGTACCACTTACTTACCTGTTTATTGATGGGAGGCCAAAGATGAACTGGTTGAGGGGGGTAGAAAGGAAGACAACTGTTTCCTGCTACCGAGGAGCAAAATGAGCATACTATTAATATTTCCTCATTAGTTACCAAGGAAATTCCTGTAAGATGAGGCTAATTTGGTTATTTTTATATACTGCAGGTGCTAAAGAATTTTGTTAGAAAAATCTGTCAAATATTAAGTCAAATAATCTTAAATGTAGAGTAATATTTAACAGATACCAACAAATCTTCTATAGAACTCAATGATTTCAATGACTTAGGTCATAAACAAGTGGTGGAAACACAGTCCCTCAGGGCAAATGCATTGAGAAATTTGTAAAATTCATGCCCGTATACATCTACCTTTGACCAAAATTATTTATTCTTAGTTTGTAATGTGACGTGTTAAAAGACACCTATGTTTCAGAAAAAGAAACGTCAATGAATTGCGATCCACATATTTTCCTTTCTTCATATATTACCTTTTTATTTTTTATCTAGATAGAATGCTGAAAACATAGCTGATCGAAATCATCAGGTATCAGGCACTGCTATTAATAACTGTCATCGTGTGAAACAGATATTAGAAATTTTTCCCCACTAACTGAAATTTAAGGTGCTCATGTCTGAAACTACCTCGAATCCTTTTGAGCAGGGACAGCAGAATTCCTCAGCGGGTGTTTTAGCTTCTTTTCCAACTGCGGGGATAAAGAACCCTAGCAACACAACTGAAGGGAAAAAGGGTTTGTTCAGCTCATACTTCCCTGCTATAATCCATCATGATAGGGAAGTTACAGAGGCGGAAACTTGAGAGAACTCATCACATTTATCCACAGTCAAGAACAAAGAAAGTGGATGAGCAGCTCCATTTCTCCCTACATATAACTCAGAATGGCCTTCCCAGAGAGTGATGCCAACCATTCTGAACCACCCTCAATTAACACATAATCCCTCACTGACATGCCAACAGGCCAACTCAATCTAAACAATCTCTCTTAGCAATCCTTTCCATGGTAATTCTAGATTGTATCATGTTGAAAAAAAGCTAACCATCAAAGTGAGTAGAGACACTTACTGTCCCTCCTAAAGACTTGCCTTTGATCCTCCGAAACAACAGAAAGGGAGAACCTACCCCTGTAAATTGTTCTCTGACCTCAACATATACCCACACATACACACACAAGTACACATACATGCATACACAAATATGTAAGTATAAAAAACCACAAAAGTCTCTGGAGCAACTCAGAATTTTATATACTGATATGATAAGCACAGCTGCCCAACCTTCCAAAGTAGACAGGCTGAAGAATAGCAACAACAATATTTGACTTAATTCCAGCCTCCAGATGCAATGGAATATGTTGTTAGCTAAACTAGGGTAAGGCCCTTTGGTGCAGTACCGAGACAATTGTCACACTGACTCAGGCATCAGTCTTAGCAAAGAATCAGAAGCAATGAAACTATGTTCACAGAATTTTCCCTCTGGTGTTTGTTTAAATCTTCGTTCCATGGAAAATAGAAAAGAAATTTACATAAAAATAGTGATCTCTGGTTTATAAAGTTAAAATATTGGGGCTAATGAGATGGCTCAACTGGAAAGGCTCTTCTGAGC